TGCCACCCCACTTTTCTGTTCAGCCGTTAATGTTTCAATTAAGGTTACTACCTTTTGGGGTGAGCATCAGGTTGCAAGTATATTCTGCAAAAGTGTGCAACAATATTACAATTAAATACTGAAATTGTTGAATGTAATGCGTAAAAAAATGTGAGTTTGCTATTAACTTTTTTAACTGAAGTACTAGAGGTTGCACTCATTGGTGATGAAATCCTTTTGCATGTTTGATGCTCCACTTGATGTCCAATTTGCCTCTTTTTTGTCCTGTTCAATGCACTATGATGTTAACCTAATACAACAAAATCTGAGTATCCCAAAATTTTCAACAAGAAGTACTTACATTGTTGTAATTGTATTCAACAAACAAATGGCCTGCCAAATTTACCTTTTTCATGGTTAGTAAACAATACACATAAAAGAAACACAATGGAATCATTTACATATTAACTTATCCATATATCTAATAAGTAAGAAGTTATAAACAATAAAATCAGACCATAAGCAGCCATAAGAAATCTAATCATAATCAAACATAAGCAAGCATAATGGTTGTAACCTAATCCACACAGGTTGGAACCTAATCCACAAAGCTTGTAACACAATCTAAACCATATTGAGTATCCCAAAAATTTGTAACCCACCACTCTGAAAACTTGTAACCAACCACCCAGACAACTTGTAACCCACGAAAAGCATATGTAAGTTAGGACATGTAAAATTAAAGAAGTTTGGATCTTCAAGTAATATCTAAATAGAGAGAGAGAGGGATGTATATTTACCTGTTGTGTGTTGCATCTCACTTGAAGGAATTAATGGGTAGATAATGAGGGGTGAAGCGACTTGGTCTTCAACTTGCTCGTTGATTTAGGTCGAGTCTACAACCTAGATGTGGTAGATGTTGTAGATGATATCCCAATTCCATCCATCCATACAAAAACAACCAAAGCGTAATTAGTTGAAGTTCAACAAATCAAATGTGTAATTTATTATATATGGGAAAAAAAGATAAATAGGTTACAAAAAACAACCCTAATCACCTACAAAAAATTCTAAGAGACCACAAAATCAAAAAATATAACACATATTTTGGAAACAGAGAGATGGGTTTTCGGTGGAGTTTCAATGAGAGCCAAGACATAGAGATGAGTTTTCGTTGGGGTTTCAATGGGAGCTGAGACAGAGAGATGAGTTTTCGTTAGGGTTTCAATGGGAGTCGATAGAGAGAAGAGATGGGTGATACATACACACACATATAGCGACAGACGTCCATACCTGGTAATGAATTCTTGGAAGAATGCTCTTGGAAGAATGGGTAGAGGGAGACAGATCGAAGGAAGACACGGAGATGGGTAGAGGGAGACAGATCGAAGGAGAAGGAGAAGAGGAAGGGAATTTGTGTGTGGAAGCGGAAGGTGTGAGAGACATTGGGTCTTTTGGGGGTGAATGTGTCAATTGATTTTTTTTACTTTACACCCTAAAATATAAATATTTTCATATTGCAACTTAAGATTAAAATATGTTGTACACAATTCTTTAGATTGTTAATGCTTTTGTGTAATTGATAGTATTATAAGAATTATAATTTTTGATGAAATATAATAAGAATACAAAAACTTTTGGAATATAAACTGTTTTTATTAACAAAAAATGGGCGGGATATGTTTCCGCCTAAAAAATAGTTGAATTTTTTGAAAAAAAATTCAGTTTCTTCCATCATATCCCACATTTAGGATCCACTATTACTAAAGGTTAAAGCAACCAAAAAGTTGAAACCTCACCCTACAAAAATTGTAACCAAATCCTTCAAAGTTGGACCTAACCAAAATATTATAACCAAATCCAGTAACATGTTGGAACACCATACTCAGCAGTTGGAACCCTCCCAAAAATAGTTCCTTTTTGAAGTGGCTTCCAACATTTATGAATTAGTGTAATAATATTTTGGGGTAAATTATTTTGGTGACATTTCAATTTTGTTAGATAGGGTTATAACTTTTTGGGTGGATTCAAAGTGGATCTACCAAAGCTTAATAAAGTCAACCCAAAAAAGTTGAAACTTCAATCCAAAAAAGTAGAAACTCCAACCCAAAATATTGTAACACAACCCAATAAAGTAATAAACCATCCCCAAAAGGTTGTAATACATGCAACAACCATAATCTATCCTATTTCTTACCAAAATCACATCACATAATAAATGCAAGCCAATTAAATTTGTCAGCCAAAATATAGTTGGTAATTATGAAATAAATGATATTAATGTCTCCCATGTTCGCTGAACATTCTTTATCCCCCTACAATGTCAGTCTTTATTCCTTCATCCTCCGAACAATTTCACTCTTCATTCTTTCATCCTCTATACAATTTAATTGGAACGTTTAGAACCCCCATTCCATCATCATCCATCCAATAACGTGGGTGAGGTAACTATTATTTGTTTGATGTTAACTGCATAATTTTTTGTATGAATGTTTTCTAATTTTGATAGGCAATATGAGAAAGGAGAGCACTACATAAACTAATATTGTCATAACACTAGTTTTTTTTTTTTCATTATGTACAAAATTTCTAAAATTTGTCAAGCATTTGATATATAACATGCATCTGTTGTTAATTATTTTTCTGTAGGTATAATCAACAAAAATGTCCTCAACTTATTTACAAAAAGGAAAGCACCCTGCGGGGTTTAGCATTTGAAAAGATGATCTAAAGTATGACAAGAACCACATGGCAATTTCAAGAAGGTGGGTTTGTTCAAGAGAAGGGTCGGTCCACAAAGAATGCGGACCACGACGAACGAGTAAGGGAACCATGGAGTTTAACAAGGGTTGGATGCCTTGCAACTTTGCGGGTGAAGTATGATAGGAAGACAGGAAAATAGGTTGTAAAGGATTTTGTTAAGGAGCATAACCATTCATTGGTTCAACAACGTGGCGTGTCATTTCTCCGATCACATAGGGGTGTTAAGAGTCCTCACAGAGCATAGGCTAAATCATTGCGTAATGTTGGTATACGAACAAGTCAGATTAGAGATTTCATGTTGCAACAATCAGGAGGATATCAAAATGTTGGATTTATCACAAATGATTTGTACAATGATGTAGCATCCCAACGTCGAGAAGAAATGAGGGATGGTGACACCAAGAGTGCATTGGCATACTTGAGCGCCAAGGAAAAGTTGGACCCACTATTCTATTTCAAGTATAACGTCACTGAAGACAATTTGCTAAAATGTTTGTTTTGGGCGGATTCGACTTCCCAAATAGACTACAAGTGTTTTGGTGACGTACTAACGTTTGATACTACATATCAAACGAATGTTTATAAGAAGCCATTTGTGATATTTGCAAGTGTCAAGCACCACAATGCTACAAGTATATTTGGTTGTGCATTGCTTTCAGATGAGACTGTGGAAACATATGTGTGGGTGCTATCTACTTTTCTTCATGCAATGGATAATAAGATGCCAATCTCTGTTATTATAGATGAGGATAAAACAATGGCTGCTGCAATAGAAATAATATTTCCACAGGCAACACACCGCTTATGTAGGTGGCATTTGGCCTGAAATGCTTTCATAAATATAAATTCCAAAAATTTTGTCCAAGCATTCAAGAGATGTATGTGCACTCGATGTACACCGGAAGAATTTGAAGATTTATGGAAATCAATGGTTGAATCATTTGGCCTGGAGACTAATAATTGGATTGCTGAAGTTTATGTAAAGAGATTCAAATGGGCCGAAGCATATTTACAGGGGATATTTTTTGCGGGACAAACAAGTACGAAACGGTCTGAAAGTTTGAATGCATACCTAAATCGGTTCCTAAAAGTACGTCAAAGACAGTTTGAGTTTGTTAGGCAGTATGATAAGGGCTTGGCAAGAATCAGAGAGACCGAGGCCAATGAGAGCATAACACATCGCAATTACTACTTGTCCCGATTCACACAACTTGAATCTAGGTGGATTGTTCAATATTATCCTGCATTCATACGTTTAAATGTAATTGCATGAAATTTGAATCTATGGGGATTCCCTGCTCTCATACAATTGCCATCATGAAGTGTGAGCACCTCAAAGAGTTTCCTCCTACCATTGTGATGAAAAGGTGGACAATTACTGCAAAATTCGATTAACAAACAAATGATGTGTTGCATACATTGAGTTTCCCATCAGTTTCTAAAAGATATGTTGGACTCATGTCTATGTGCAGCAGAATGTGTTACTATGCTTCATAGTCAATGTCAAAAACAAACGACGTGAAAAATATAGTGCATCAGCAAACGTCTGCTCTACTAGCCCATCACGATTCAACAACTAGAGGTTATGATGAGTCTCAAATATCCTATTTCAACATGAATGTGAAAAATGGCAAATTTGGAGTGGGTGACCCAAAATTTGTGAAGACTAAGGAAAATTCAGGAGGGGTGAAAAAGAACATTTCAATTACCCCATGAAGGTACAGTAAATGTAGGGGTATCGAACATACGGTTAGAGAATGTCCACTACTTGCACCCCATTTGAATGATCCATATGAGAACATGTCGTTTTCACATGTGGTTGAATCGCACCAACCACACAATCTCCATTATTTTTCTCATGCATCACAATCACAAGAACCGGTTCTCGAGATGCCATTCTCACAGCCTGGTGGATCACAACAACCCTTGCAAACATATAAAGATAAAGATTATTAGACTCCTTTTTGAATGGCAAAAGTATGTTCCTACTCAACATGTTGTGTACATCAACATGCATCAAGAAACCAACTATATTGTGTTTTCTAGGATTATATTACAAACATAGCATCGCCAAATATCATGACATCCACTTTGCATACCATCAACAAATTATCATAACAACCACTTTCAATTTACATACCATCAACAAAATTACATAGTAAAATTTAAAATTGAACAACTTAAATGTTTTCTACAATCCAACAACTAATAAAGAGTACTACTCATTTTTTTCTTGAGTTTATAATTTATTCTCCAACTCTTTCAATGACTCTTTCGTGTCTTCCCAGAGCAGCCTGAGAGACTCCTTGGTGTCATCACGAAGCTGCTTGAGAGACTCTTTTGTGTCTTCACGTAGCTGCTCCAAAGACTCCTTCATTTCTTGCTGCATCTCCTCTTGATTTACCAAAATCTGTTTAAGCATTTGTACAATATCCCCTGAACCTGAAGTACTTGCCCCGGGATTATAATCATCTAGATTATATGACTCGGTTTGCCTCAAACTCTTTTTTAATGTGTATTCATCAAATGGACTCATAGTGTGAAGACCCTGCCCCATTACCGGGACCCTGTCTTCCAAGGGTTAACCTCCCATTACCGGGATATCACCACCCTCCACCAAAGGATTTCGGCTAACCTGTGGGTCAAACCCCCACAGTAGCCTTTACCTCCGTCCCACATCGGGGAAGGAGTCGTCTCCCCACCCCCATATAAGCCGAAGCACCATATGAGAGCAGTACCCAAGTACCACAGAAAAAACGGAAAATGGTAATTTGCCATTATAGTGTGAGTTAAAAAAAAAAAAAAAACTGGTATTTTTATAGACCTCGGATGATGAAACGGACCTCACCGTTGGATTCGTCTCACGAAATCTAGTTACCCAGACAAATTTCGTCGAATTCTGAGATAGTCAGATTTTTCACGTTTTTCGAGGTGACGGGTGTTCGATGACCCCTAAAAACGAAATTTTTATAAAAATTTGAAAATTTAAAAAATATTTTAAATAAAGTTCATATAAAATATTTTGAGTTTAAATCGGTACGAAATTTAATCGTTTCGGGATGAAAACGGACCCGGACAAAGGATGACACTTGGCGCGACGAGGGCCAAGTGTTTAGAAGGTATAAAAGTGAGCAAATCAGATATTTGCTCTTCATTTCTTCATTTGCTGCCGGCTGGATCAAACCAAAGAGCTAAGGAGAAAAAATAAAATTCTTCAAGCTTTCTTTCGCCGATTCTCGGAGTTCCGTCGGTCGGAATTCGTCGGGCCAAGAATTAAAGTCGATCTACGCGACGAGAGCTACGCGTGGGTACCAAAAACAAAGATTTTCACCGAAGATTCAAAGGGAGGATTTTGGAGAAATCTAAGCTTTAGACTTCAATCTTGTTCTTGAGGCTTCCTACAAATTCTTTACGCTTCAAGAGGTAGGGTTCCTCCTACTCGGACCTATTTCTAACCTAAGGTGTCCATAGGGTTCATGTGGGCTGTTTTGGGTATTTCTAAGATTTTTCCATTATGATTGGTGCTATGGAAATGGGTAGGATCAATTTTAGTGTAAATTGGTAGTTAGAAAGTGCTAGTTTGTGATTTCTTGAATGTTTAGATAATTGATTATATAAAAATCATATATTCTGATTTTTATTTTGTTTGAATGATCCATATAAAATCTTGGCTTGATTTTTGGTATATGGAAGTATTTATGTAATCCCTTGAAAATTGGGATCATGTGGGCATGCTTTGTGTTTTATATTATGCCTTGTGAATGAAATGTAATATTAGCATGTATTATGTGTTATCATGTTGATGGAGTGTTGATATATGCTCTTGGATATATTGAACTTGAAATGGTTATGTGATTATATGCAAATGATATTAATTGTCATGGTATACAATGATATTTAAAAATTGTCATTTGGCATGCATTGCAATATGGACATGGAATTAACATCACATTCATGGGCTACATGCATGAGTGTGGGTGTAGGGTTGCATGGGGTGATCAACACCAACATTGGTTCTTGATGGTAGGCTCGGAAAAGTGGGATGGAATGTCCTACGGAGTCGCACGGTGACATGCATAAGAAAACTTGTGTCGGGTATAGCAAGTAGGGCTAGACACTCCCTCGGGTGAAAAACCCGACCACTTGGTTCATACACTTACCGGCGGTGAAATTCCAGAAAAGTGTAACGGCGTACGGAGCCGGAGGTGCGATTCCTGAATCCGATACCCCATAAAAGCACATGATTTTGATATATAAATTATTCATTTGATGGGAAACATCCAAGAATGAATTAGTTTTATGACATATGGTTGATTTCAAAATGATCTTTGGATGTGTTTCATCAAAGACGTTTGTTTTACACGTAAGTGTCGCATTGTGTTGTGGGAGTCGGTGTGGGCTCGGGATAGCATGCATGGGTGAGTTTCATCTCATTACTTGGCATGGCATCATGATTTTCCAACATTGTATTATATGTTATTGTTGGAGGGAATACTTGTTGTGAAATGTTGCATTTATACATTGCATATGCATTTTAGGTGATGAGTAGCCTATGTAGGGATTATTCTACTGGGCATTGGCTCACCCTATACGGGAAACATTTCAGGTGTGGGTCATGCACCAATGGACGGCTCACAATCCGGGTCACATGGTTGAAGAAAAGTCGACTTGTGGCTTCCAATCCATTTATTTTTTGTAAAAGTAGATTTGTAATTAAATTTTGGCATGTAATGTGTAAAGGAATTGTAATAGAGTATATATGGACTGTTTTAATATAACCTTGCATATTTTGATATAAATATGATGATTGGACCCGGTGTGGTCAAGTTTTATGTATAAAATGGACCTTGTGTGGTTATGGTATTATATTGGACCTCGGATGGGTCATGTAAATGTTGATTGCACAGATTGTGTTTTGGGGTAGAGCTTCCCGTACAAAGGAGACTCTGCCCGTTAAATTATGGATCCTAGTAAATGGGACACAACGGTGCGATATCGAGTTATACGGTATCCACGGGCATTCCATGAGTTGATGGGAAATTAACGGACCCCATGAATTTGGGGTGTCACACATAGGGGACTTATAACTGTCGGTTGGGTGAATAACAACTCCATAATGCATCATGATCTTTGAAATTAAGATGGGGAATGGGAGACTTTTTTGCCTATCTCCAACGTCAAACGTGGAAACAATTTCATTAAATATTAGATGAGGGAGATCTATAGTTATCCCCTTCCTAATGGCATAGAGTAGATGAGCTCTATCAAGTCCAAAATTAGCACTATGTCCTCTCTGATTAATATTACATCCCACTATACGGTTTAAAATCCTATAAGTGTTAGTGAGATATCTTTGATAAAATGTCTCTATCTTCAGATTAAAAGGTCTATCATAAAGTTCTGTTGCAACATCCGCGAGGGCAGGTTGATCACTGAGATTCTTGAATGGGTATGTCAAAGTATTTTCAACAACAAAAGGTGAGACAACATTCAATATCTTTGAAATCAAATCCAAGTTCACTTGAAAACGTACATTCCTCATATAAGATTTAAATTTCAAATCTTCATTCTCAACATCATGCATATTTGCATAAAATATCCTCACAAATTCATCATATGCTTTATCGTTCTTATCTATTTGAACTATAGAATTCCAATGTCGAAAATAAAAAATAATAGCACAGTCCACATCTGTCATCTTATCCAACTGAGTACCACGGTCTAGTAACACAGGCTTATGACAAAACCTATTATGATAAAGCTCTTCACCATTTCTGTTGAAGAAAGCTGGAATGGATGAACTTACCAAATTTGCAAGAGAGGAGGAGTGATCAACATTTTTATTTTGTTTTGCACAAGGACAACCGAAGGAATGGACCATTGGAGGTTTTGGACAGGATTGATCACCAACCTGTTTATTCTTCATTTGCCAAATTCCAGCTGTATTATCCACTTTTGGCCGATACTTTCCCTCGGCCTTCCTCTTCTTCTTTGTTTCCATCAAAAGTTTTGTTGAATTCTCCAACCTCAAACATTGTTCTGATACATTACCAGAGCAAATAGGTACATACCCAATCAAACATAATAAATGTGTCATACGAGAAATAAATATGGAATGACCACACACATTCATATGTTATAGAATACTTACTTGTAGTGAGATTTGAAGCGTTTTGGAGTTAGGGTTTGGTAACGGTCGATTGGCTGACTTGTTCTTCTTAAAATCAAATGGATTTCGAATGCTTGAAATCAATCTCTTGTTCTTCTTTAAATCAATCACTTGCTCTTCTTGAAACAATGGGATTTCGAATGCTTGAAATCAAAGGCGTTTTGGAGGCTTTTTAGAGTTAGGGTTAGGGTTTTGGAGTTAGGGTCTCTTGCTCTTCTCGAAATCGATCTAGGAATGGACACGCTTGCTCTTCTCGAAATCGATCGAATTCATATCGATCTAGGAGTTAGGTCGCTTGATCTTCCCTTCCAAATCTACCTGAGACACGCAGCTCCTATGGAATAGACGATCGCCTTCTTCTTTAAGCGTAGGATAAAAGTGCCGAATGAAAGGGGATAAATTGTAATATACACAGGATCGGTCTAGGGGATAAATTGATAAATTGAATTTTATTAGATAATTTGGTGTTACTTTAATGAATTGAATGTTTATTCAATAAATTTCTATATTACATTAGTGTTGGTTTGATAAATTGAATTTTATTAAATAATTGTGGATGTTAATTTGATGAATTGAATGTTGATTGGATGATTTTGAATATAAATTGGATAAATTGACTGTTAGTTTGGTATTAATTTGACGAATTGAATATTTATTTGATAAAATTGAATGTTAAGTTAATTTGATTAATTAATTATTTATTAGATGGAGTTGAAAGTGAATTTGATGAATTGAATATTAATGTTGTGTTAATTTGAATAATTGAAAGTTAATTTAGCGTTGATTTGAAAAATGTAATGTTAATTTGGTGTTAATTTGATTAATTGAATGTTAAATAGTTAATTTAAATGTTAATTTAATGAATTGAAACCTCTATAAAAAAGTTGGAACCCCAACCAATTTTTTTGTAACTCACCCCAAAAAAAGTTGGAACCTACAAAAAAGTTCGAACCCGAAAATGTTAGAACCTTCCCCAACACTTAAAACCCACCAAAAAGGTTATAATTCAATTAAAAAAATTAAAACCTTAGCCAAAAAGTTGAAACCTCTACCCCAAAAATTGGAACCTCCAAAAAAGTTGGAACCCTCACAAGTATTGGAACATCTACCAAAAAAGTTAAAAGCTACCCAAAAGAGTTGGAAACCACCCAAAAGAGTTGGAACCCTACTAAATAATTGAAACTAAGCCAAAAAGTTGAAGCCGCAAGAGTTGGAAAGTTGGAACTTTCGCTCAAGTACCTCTACCAAAAAAGTTAGAACTTCTACCCAAAAAAGTTAGAACTCTTACCCAAATAGTTGGAACCCACCCCAAAAAAGTTGGAACCCCTACCAAAAAAGTTAGAACCTCTACCCAAAAAAATTAGAACCCACCCAAAAAAATTGAAACCCTACCAAAAAAGTTGAAACCGAAAAATTTGGAACCCTTCCCCAACAGTTATAACCCACCCAAAATGTTATAATTCAATTCAAAATATTGAAACAGAAATCGCTACCCAAGAATTGCAACCTAAAAAAAGTTGGAACCTTCCCTCAAGAGTTGTAACATTGATCCAAAAAAGTTGGAAACTACCAAAAAAGTTAGAACCCCTATCCAAAAAAGTTAGAACTCACCCCAAAAAAATTGAAACCCCTACCAAAAAAGTTGGAACCCCTCCCTCACCCCAAAAATTATAATTCAATTCAAAAAAGTTGAAAAGTTATAACCCCATCCAGATAACCAATAGTTAAAATCTCACCATAAAAATTAGAACCATTCCCCAACCATTAGAGCTCATCCTAAAAAGTTATAACTCAATTCAAAAAAATTGAAACCCGAAAAGGTTTATTTGATGAAATTGAATGTTTATTTGGTTTAATTTTGATGAATTGAATATTAAATGTTATTAGCTAACATTGTTAATTTGTTAAATTGAATATTACTTTGTTGTTGATTTGATGAATTAAATCTTTATTAGATGATTTTTATTTTAATTTGATGAATTCAATGTTAATTTAATGAATTAAATATTAATTGGATGAATTGAATTTTAATATGACGAAGATTATATCACATTTTTATTGAAACTGATTCCTTGTTTCAAATACTGCTGTACTTGAAATTTTTTTGTTAACAAGAATGAGTAGTCTAAGGTTTGAACAAACCAAAACCCATGATTCTATGTCGATGGTGATTATACAATCTCTAACCCTCTTATTCATCTTTCTAAATTACAAAACCATATATAAGATAATGAAACCAAGAATTTCACTTTGGTTGCACAAGTAATGCTATCCTATAGAGATATGAAAATATGAAAGATCCATTTGTTGATCAAGGTTATACATAGAAGCATAAAAAGGTAATGATTTTGTTAGTTTAATAATTTTCACTTTAAAATTAAAGTTGAAAAGAGACAAAAAAATACCCCACATTCCAATAGGCAAAAGTCATATATCAAAGAGTACTGCTATAAAAACATACTCTTTTGACAAAATGAAACCGAATTTTTAATGCTTTTCTTAATATCACAACCAACACAGCAAAATAAGGGTAGACCTTCCTCTACAAAAATACAAAACAACAAACGTAATTGACTCCAAACTCTATGTAGCTAATTTCGAGTAAAGACATTATCTATTAAACAAGCTCTGCAAAACAACATTTTGGACCAGAAGAGCTTTGTGCAAAGACATTAGCTAATTTCAAAAGAGTTTTGTGCAAGTCCAAAACATTTTGGACCAGAACAGATTGTTAAGATCTACTCAACAACAACATTAGAAGGGTGATGGTAAAGGTAGTCAACAGAGAAATCGGTCCAATTAATCGATCATGTGAGCTCTTTGATAAATGCTATACTCACTCTATGGAGAAACAAGAGATTTTCAATGTTTGTGTTGGTAAAAATTCACCAAAAAATGTAAACTTTTTAAAGTGTTAGTGAACGTTTTGCCTTAGCATCTTCATTTTTATTCTTGCCATTTTCTCTAGAGCTGTTCACCACTTAAACCTAGACATGTTACCACGCACTTAACCATGCCTGATATTTTTCCAAGCAAATCCACAAGCACCAACTTTGGATGATGCCTTAAAAAAATATTCTCACCCTCACTAACCACAACCATTCATCTCATCTCATCACATCCACCCTTCATCCAAAGAGCACAAACAAGCGTCCACACACCCCAACTCTCAATCGAAATTGACCCAGTGGATTATGAAGGCCACACAAGCCCAGTTTAAAAACACAACTAGCAATAAAAAATCTAGAAATCATAACTTCTAACAGAACATCCAAACACAATTTACTTAAAACACAGATCAATTTTCCTAATGCACACACAAATATTTATAATTTAATTCAAAAATAGCATTCAATATACACTAGGATTGTGAATATACACTTACAGACGTCTTTGGAAGCAGAGGACTGTTCATATGCCTTTATATCCTAGCACTCCACGAAGAATTCCCTCTGCATCCTCCAATATCTATCCATGTCTCTTGGTCTTCATGCTGGATATTCATCTTCTACCACGCTTCTAGATAAAAGGCAGAAATTTTCTATTTTGCAGGTGCTCAAAGGGAGAAGATCTCTCAGAGGTTGTTTCTCTCATCGAAAATGCAAGAGTCTGTGTTTTGGTCTCTTTTGTTCACGCGTCTATTCAGCTGCCCTATCTCATAGGTTTCTCAACCTATAAGACTATTCACCTTCTTCTCTGATAAGCAGGCTCAAAGCTCAAACGTTCAACTCTAACTCCCAGTTTTACCTCAAGCCTCCAGCCCAAGCTTCCATCTCAAGTTCAATCATCCAGCTCAAGCTCCAAGCTCCAAGCTCCAAGCTCAAACTCCTGCTCTCAGCTCATCAAGCATTCACGGGTGTCTTTTAATGCAGCCATATTATGAGCTAAGTTTTAGGTGATATAAAGGATCATGCTTTATAATTTTATTATTTCTTTAATTCTTGTATCATGCATGCATTGCTTCTATTATTCTATTTATTTTATTTCGTGTAATTAGGTGTAATTTGATTTTTTAATACAATCCATTAAAAAAAAATCTTTTTTTAAGGATTTTCATGTTAATTTTATGAATTGAATGAATTTGAATATAAATTGGATGATATTGAATGTTACGAATTAAATGTTTATTAGTTGAATTTTAATGTTAATTTAATGAATTATATGTTTATTAGGTAAAATTAAATGTTAATTTGAAGAATTTTATGCTAATTTGGTGTAAATTTGATGAATTGAGTTTTAATTGGATGAAATTGCATGTTTGATGTTGATTTGATAAATTGAATATTTATTGAATGATTTTAGATGTTAATTTGATGAATTATAATATTAAAAGGTTAAAAAGTGTAATATCAAAAGTTAAAAGTATAATATTAAAGGATAAAAGTGTAATATCAAAAGGATTAAAGTGTAATATTAGGCCAGGATCAGTCCCCATTCCCACAATCGGTCCTAATTCATCATAAAATAAATTAAACTTACTCCCATGAAGTATATCAATATTTTTATTTTTTGTTCCCTATATTTCACATTCAGTATTTTTATTCTACATCTAATATTTTTGTGAACATAAGATCCCTTTTTTGTGAACAATCAATTCATTAAATTAACATTCAATTTCATTAAATTAATATTTAATTCATCAAATTAATACTAAATTAACATTTAATTCATCTAAATAAATATTCAATTCATCAAATTAACATTAAAATTATGGGCAGTGATGAGGGTTCTGATCAGTTTTTGTGCTTACTGGTCTTTGAAGCCTTGAATTTTTTTCCTTACATTCAATGTGGTTCATACATCTAATGCTTACAATATGCTTTAGAAAAGTAAATTTCACTATGGCTTTCTGTTGGGACAGTAATGTGGATTATGTCTCTGTCTCTACTTTGCTATGTTTCCTCTAGCTCCTGTGGTGGACCTTCAAGATAGAGCTGCTGTAGCAGACGCAACATTCTCATGGGAAGGCTTGGGACTATTTTTCCTGGCCTATCTTCTCTACTCTTCTTGCTGACTTTTGGCCTTCGTTGGTCGCTCTTTCTCACTTCAATCTCATCTTTTTTGCGTTTCATGGTGCTGATCTGTTGGTTTCTTTACCATGTTCATGTGTTGCTTTTATGGAGGATGGATGACTCTTCCTCTCTTGCTTTCCTACATCTGGATTCTGTTGGAGGGGATGTCCATGTTGTTTGTTCCCCGATGTAGCCTCTTATGCTGACTGTTGATTGGCTTGCTGGGCTGCATTAGGGTGATTTAATTCTTATTTGGAGCCTCTTCAGCTTACTGTTGCAGCTGGGGTTTTGACCCAACTGGTTCATTTCTTTTGGATTGCATATGGTGGATACCTTCAATCAGGACATCCTATGGACTTGTGTTTTAGGTGTTTGGATTTTTGGGTATGTACATTTAGGTGTTCCCCTCGTATACTTGGTTCTCTATTAATACAATTTACTTTTTGAAAAAAAAAAAAAAATCTTCTTTTAAGGATTTTTTATGTTAATTTTATGAATTGAATGAATTTGAATATAAATTAGATGAGATTGAATGTACGAATTAAATGTTTATTAGTTGAATTTTAATGTTAATTTAATGAATTATATGTTTATTAGGTAAAATTAAATGTTGATTTGAAAAATTGAATGTTAATTTTGTGTAAATTTGATGAATTGAGTTATAATTGAATTAAATTGCATGTTTGATATTGATGTGATAAATTGAATATTTATTGAATAATTTTATATGTTAATTTGATGAATTATAATATTAAAAGGTTAAAAGTGTAATATAAAAAGGTTAAAAGTATAATATTAAAGGATAAAAGTGTAATATGTAATACAGGATCGGTCTTCCATTCCCAGGATCGGTTTTAATTAAATTACACTTACACCCATGAAGTATAACAATATTTTTATTTTGTTCTTTCAACTAATATTTTTATTCAACAACTATTATTTTTTTTGAAGATAAAATATAGGGGTGTGGTATCGGTTTCATGTTAATAAAAAATTATTTAATTTGACAATGATTAATATAATACTATTTAAAAAATTATAAAATTCTTATTTTTTTATCTAAAATACTCATTAAATAATTATTTTTTATTTACAGTACTCATTTATTACTTGTGTCAATGAATGTAACTTCTGGATTCGTGTCAGGTTCAGTTCGAGTCAAAAAATTGACGCCCCTAATAAAATACATAGGCAAAGTAAAAGTAAAATAATTTTTCCTTAAATATATAACTGATATTAATAATTGGGTTATCGGGTACAACTCTATTCGGTACAAGTTTAATAGATGGATTACAATTGAATTGAATACGGTATAATTTTTGGTTAATTATAACTGTTTTAATTAATTACATGTTTTATAGTTACTATCAAAAATAATCAGTTACATTGATTTTAATAAATTTAAAAAAAACACATGTCACTTATACAGATTAAACTACTTTTTGATATGATATCAAAAATTAGTTTGGCGGTATAATAGTGTTACCCATACAAATCACTCGTCTTTTCTCTCAATGAATGGTACAGAATATTGCTAGAAGCTGCACGTGTCGTACCGTACCGAAAAAAGTGAGGGCGGTACCATAGTCTCCCCCGTGTTTATTATGGACTCTTTAGGCTGAAGTAGAAGACAAGGTGGTGAGCTGGTTGGCAGCGTACGTACATAATGTGAAATTCTTTTCTCAATGCCCACACTGGACCAGCATTGTACACAGTATGATAATGAAGTTGAACATGTGGCAAGATAATGTCAATTCCTTTTTTCGATGCTTAACTTATGTTTCGTTTGTTAGGATAAAAAAATAAAAAAATGAAAGGTTGAAAAAACGCAAAATTATAGGGATAAAAAAAATATTATATTTGATAAAAAAAATAAAAAAGATAAAAAAGTGAATAAATTAATTTTTTTTCTAACTCACCAAAATCAATCTCTATAAAATCGAAAGAAAAATGGATGAAAAATTAAATATTTATGTTGAAATGTATTTTATTTGTTTATATATTATGTATATATTAATTTTATATAAAAAATATAATGATAAAATATATATTTATATATATATATATATATATATATATATTAAAAAAATTTAAAAATAAAATAAAAAATAGAAATAAAAATTTTAAATTTAAAAAAATATTTTTTTATCTTAAATAGAGGTGAAAATTTTCAGCTCAACACGATGACACGACTCAAATTCTACATGAATTTTATGACACGAACTTGAAAATGACCAGACATGTAAACAAGAAATATAAAAACATATTATAATTTTATGACTCAACACGAATCTGACATGACACGACTAAATTGTCACCCCTAATCTTAGTCAACACAAAAAAAAATTAAAAAAAAATAGTCATTTTTTATTTTTCATCCATCCAACTAAATACAAAGGAAATAAAATATATCATTCTTACTTTTCATTCTTGAATGATAGAAAATGTATCTCTGCTACTTTCCATCATTCCTACTTTTTGTCATTCCTACCAAACGGAGCATTAGTATTTGATTATGTTCTCGTAAAAAAATGTTAATATTATATTTTTAAAATTTATTATTTTAAAAAGTGTTTTTATAATTTTTATGAGTTATTTTTATAATTAAAAAATTTATCACTTTTATAATTAATTTATTATTTTATAGATATTTTTTTTATCATTGTTGTAGGTATTTTTATCACATTTGTGGTAACTATTTTTATCATTTTTTCTTAAGTACAAAAATAGTTATCACTTTTGTGGATGATTTATAATATTTATGAGTATTTTTATGGGTACTATAGTCACATATGATTTCTTAGAGACTACCTATGTGTGACTCATCTATTTACTATCTGCAATAAAAGTAGATGATCAATACATCCAATAGTTTTAACATTTTATTCCTAAAAACTTTATTCATATTAGGGTTGAGTCTCATTTTCATGTCCCTAGATATTTAGACATTATCCTCTAAATTAATCTTAAGAGTATAAACTAAGGAACTAACTAATACCCTTGATATCAACATAAAAAAAATATTAATATTAAAAATAAAAAAGTCTTATTTGTAGTAGTTGCTTTAAGGCTCAGATAGTTTTAAGCCGCCCCTGATTACTTCTTGGCTAGCCTGCTTAATAAGTTTCTATATACATCTAACGGTAAATTACTATTTTATTGAACAATCAATTATAATAATTTTGAAACAACTCATTTATAATAGGCCACAAAATACCCAAACAGTAGAGAAGAGAAGGGCACAATAAACCCCAAAGAGGTCGGCATAAGAAAAAATAGTAGGAGCTTAAATTGGTTATTTTTTGTGGCCTCAATTCAGCTTTTTTTCAGACTCCCACCGGGGGTGTGTTAGGTGGTTGGGGGTGTGGAATGGTTGTACTTTCGACGAATTCACCGTTGCTTATTTCTTAGGAAGCAATTAGTTTTACACAAGCGATTGAATATGAAACTTGTTATGGATGGAATTTTTTGGTATCTGACAAATCATGGTGTCATATAAGTTAGAATTAGAGCTCGAAATGTCTAATCATGGTGTCATATTATTTGTATATTATTCCACTTCAAGCCAAAAATTGTGAATGAAGTTTCTTACATACGTAAAGTTTAAAGAATTGAGAGTTAAACCATTAATAGATTAATGGAAGTTTATAAGCATTTTCACTGTAAATTAATATAGAACCCGAAACTTTTTTGAAAATTTTGTTGGTGTAAATCTTTTGCTTATTTTTTTGTGTTTTTTCTATTTATTGTTGACTCTTATCAGAATATGCATTGGGCAGGACTGATCCACTGGCTTGGCAAATTGCTGGATGAAGGCAATTCATTGATGTATTTTGGAGTCTTTACCACAAGATGTTATTAATTCATTAAGGCTCCGTTTGGTTTAATTCATTAGGATTTGAAATCATTTATTGACAAGTTTCCTAGCAATACGAGGTGGAAACATTGGAGATGCTCATTGAGCAGAGTCTTGTATGTGAAAGAAATGTTGAAAGAGGTAATGTGTTTAGTCCTATAATTCAGTTGAAACCAGCTGCACTCAGATACTCCGCACGTGAATTGGAGCATTGGGAGCAGATTCTCCATGAATTTGCTTTCTCATTTTACTAAATTTAAGAATTCACTTTATTTGCGCTCTCTTTTACTTGAGTGCTTGTTAATTATTATTCAAATTCTTATATGACAAGAACAGGTCAATGCCTAAAGATATGTATCAAACTACAATGATATTTGTAATATATGGCTGTCATTTTTATAATTGGGATAGCATCTTATAGAGCTCCCCCCTTCCTCAAAATTGAACATGAAAGTTTCCTTTCATCTCGTTTAAGTAGATACACCAAATAAAGAAAGGGGTTCCCACTTTCAAGTTCTAGAACCACCCCTCCCCCCAAAACAAAAAAAAAAAAAAATCAAGAAACCAAAAAAAGATCTACTCCTTATTGAAGTTTCAAGTAAAGACCAAACAACATTTCGTTGATTCTGTCTTCCTTTTTAAAATGAAATATGCAATTCGTGAGTAATTTATTTAAAAATTAAATAATTTGTCAAATAGTTGTGCATGGAGTTCAATTTTTTAAATTATAATTTTAATAATGTTTGTTTGTATGTATATTATATAACTCTCAAGGGACTCAACTCACAATTTTTTTTCAATTTAGCCATTTTTACGCTTCCATTATCACTCTTGCCTCCGCTCCCTGTGATCCAAATGTCGAAGGCTAAACAGGCAAGTTAACCCAAAATACAACAAACCCATACAAATAAAAAGGAACTCAAGTCATATTTTAGCTCAAGAGAAGTCTATGGTATCGAAAAAAAAACTTCGGTATAGTATTTTCATTATAATTTTTGGGAGTGATTTTACAATTTTTGTGATAAATTCTTTTGTTCTAAAAATACCCACAAAAATTATAAAAATTAAGGGTACAATACCGAATTTTTAGTTTTTGATACCATATTCTTTTCCTTTTAACTCAAAGTATAGCTCTTTTTTCCACAATTGACTTGCATCACTTCATCGGAGACGGAAAACTTCAATGTATACATCCAATTTTGAAGAAAATTTTGAGGTTGCAAGTCCATATCAATCAAGCCAGATGATTGAATAACTAATTGCACACATCTGATTGATCACATCTGAAAGTTTCTCTACACCTTTTTTCTTCAATAAATTTAAAATTGGATAAAATACATGTTTGATTCGTAAAGTTTCTTAATAATCACAAGAAATAAAATAATTTATTCCAACTCTTTAAATTTGTTTCAATAATATACAATGTTCACATGTTTTCGAATCTTTTCTAATACGTTTTTGTTTTTCTAATAGTGTACTTGTACTTAGCCCCAGTCAAAATTCAAATTTCTATTCTGGTCTGACTCAACCGACCATAAGGCCAGTTAGAAAGTTGGGG